CAGGAACGAATGAGCAGCACAAAAGCATCTTTGCAGAGTGTGTTCCCTCAGTCTGAGCTGCCTGTGCCAGCTGCCTGTGCTGCCAGGTACCAACAGGACAATCTGGGAGCAGATGACTCATCCCCACTCGGAATTCTCCGTGGCAGGGGGGAGCAGCATAGGCAGCAATATGTGCATCCAGTCCCCCTGAAGATTTTGGAAGGCAGAGGAAATACACTGAAAGGGTAAACAGGGTAACCACTGTCCTTTGACAGAAAGATGAGCATGAAGGAATACCAATCTGGCATGCATTTCTTTTAGACAGAATTGTACAATGATAAAACTATTTTACTTATATCTTTGCCATATATCACCTACAAAATGAATTAATTCATTGGGAAATAAAGCAATTTAAAATAAAAAGCAAACAAAACCTTGAAATCCAATCTTTTTCCTACAAATTAAAGGCAGCTTTAAAAGTAAGTTTCTTTATGATCCTTCAATTAATTTAGTAATCACATCCACATCGTAAGAGCTTATTTCTTCTTTTCTAGTAGGTAGATGCTGAAGAAAAAGAAATGGGGGACACATTCTCTGTCAGGGGCTGAACAGATAGTAGGTATCAGATTAACTTCAAGTATTAGAGACTCAATTGCAGTCCTGTAGCCTTTGTACCAAATTTGTCATATTTCAACTGTAGCAAGTTGTCACAGAAACTTCAGACTATTTTAATTTCAAAATTCAAGAAGAAAACAAACACATTTTTCAAGATATTTTCAGCAGTTGCAAAACATGTAATTTTCAGCAATGGTATTCCTAAGTGAATGAGAAATATCATCTTTCATCCCAGTGCTAATGACATCCTACAAGGTGATGACATTAACAGCTGGAAAGTGTAATCTTGCCACCACACTTCTCAATTTGCCATTCACTTATTTCAAGCCTGTTGTCCAGTTCATGCCACTTTCTCAGCAAATTTCCAAACTGTTTGTTTGCTTAAATGCCCAAAGCATATGTTGCTGACAAGCCTTTTATAAGGTAAACATGTTCATTATTCTCATGGGAGCTTTGTCTCCCAAGAAACTTCTCTTCTTGTCTTGTGATCACTATCCTTTTTAAAGTTTGCTCAGATCACTTATAAAATTATGTTTTCTGGCTAATTTTCTCAGCTGTGTTTATTTTCAAACTGTCTTGGTAACCACAGAGTCATTAGAATTTGATGGTTTGATCTTGATAGAGAAATTTGTGTATTTGATAGTGTGAGCATTTCACTTCATAAATAGAAAACAAATACAAGAGTACACAACTCCTTGGTGCAAAGAATTTCAAAACTGCTGAGAAAGGGAGCATCTCTGTTTCACTCTTGAAGGTTTCAAATCCACAGAAAGAAAACATTTACTGAAATTTCAAGATAAATTAGATTTAACAATCTGTCCAAAGCCTATTTCAGCTCATGAAACCATCTAGCTCTGTGACAGACAGCAAAGCCCCTTCTTTACCATGCAAAGGCTACTTTGAGCATTTTGGAAGGCAGGCTTCAATCATTTGAATGGCTTAGAGATTTATTTTTTTTACCTGTCTCGGATTCTTCCTGCAAATTCTTTAAAAAGAATTTGATCATGTTATTTTCCTGCAGGGAAATCCCAGGCTGAAATCATGGGACTTGTTCAAAGCCTGCAGTCCTGCCCAGGTTTCCTGCTCTGCCATCACAGGGCTGTGCTGCTGTGCCAGGATTGCTGGGCTGGACTCAGGTGAGATCATAAGGGACAGCCAAGGGGGTGCAGAGATCATCCCAGAACAGCTGCTGCTGTTCACATCCAACAGGCTCCAAAACCCACATGTATTCATCTCCCCCAATTTCCAAGGGAGGGAGGGAGGCAAATTCTATTTCTCTGCCTCATCCCAGTCTCTTAGTTGAACAAGACAGATTGTCTTGTTCATCTTTTTACACAACAGGAGTCTAACTTGGAACAGGGTGCTGTTGGACAAAAGGCAGTTGTCAATTATATGATCAACAACAGAAAATGTGACTTCTCTAATTCACAACAAAGAGAAGTGAAGTAAAAGAAATGACTGGGTGGCTCCCTGTAGCACTGGCCTTTTAATACTCAGGAGATGCTTACTAAAAGAAGCTGCTAAAATAAACCTTTTAAAAGAAGACAAATTGGATGTGTGCTATTCAGCTGGGGGATGCTGATGGGACACAGAATATGCTCAATATTATAAACTTAGCTCCTCTTGCACATTTTATGAAGGAAATTCAAATAGTCTTCCTAATATTTTGCCAAGATTTCTTTTTCCTTTCATTCAAAAAGGAAAAGGACATTATTCCAGGAGGGCATATAAAGTAAGACACAGAACACAGAACTCAATAATTAGTGATCCAGTGGGAAAAAAATCCCTAAACTTTGAAATGCATTGACATATTTAACAATAATGGAAGCATATTTACAACAATGGGTCTTACTGGTGTTTACACAGTAAGTACAGTTTTAATATTCTGAGAAGAGTGATGCACAGAAAAGACTCAAACATGTCAGTAAGATCAAACATATTTGAAAATTGGGTTAAAGTTTCAAACTGGTAGATTTTAATCAGTACCAGAGCAGCAACATAACCCTCAGAAGGTTCTGATTTGTTGAATTCCCTTTTCTTCTTTTCCCCGTTCCACCTAGTATTTCATACAAGCCTTTGATTTTTCACAGATGCAGTAGTATTGTCTGTGAATAAATGAATGCAGATAAATGGTTCTGAGAAGCAGCAAAAAGCCTGAGCTACACTAGCCCATGATGGATTCACAGAGACCTGTGGTGCATTCACACAGCATTTCCAGGGCTTCTCAGGAATTCAGGCTCTCAACGTCCAAAGGCAGAGCCAGAGCTCTGGTGTGTGCAGCCAGCCATAAGTGGATTATATGACACTACTGCCCATGACAACAGGGAAAGGGACTCAATCACAGAGGGTATCTTGTACTTTTGATTACATTCTTGTATTCTCTTGCTTTTGTAGCATCACAGTCTCTCTTAAACACAAAACCTGAGCACCAAACCCTAGTGTTGCTCTTAATCTAGTCTTACTGTTCTCTCAGTTTCATGCAAATCCTTGCATTCCATTTTCTGCAAATTAAATATATTTGCTTAGAAGCCGCTAATGCAAATGTGGTTTATGCAACAAAATTTTATGAAAACAGTTAATTTTTTTTGGTGTGTTTATTTGTTCATCTGTATTACCATGAGGAAAGAAAACTGACCCAATTTGTTTAGAGTGTATCTAGATGACCCAGGTGCTACGTCAGTCACTGGCTCTGTGAGAAGTAATAAGGCCCCAGAAAAAGCTGGAGCTGACTGAACTTATTTTCCTTTAGGGCTGACTATGTTAACACACTTACTGAAGGAGGGGACAGTAATGATCCAGTCACTACTTATCAGGACAAAATTAGTAATGATATATAATCCCAGTGGTTTAAAAGTAAGGAGCTCCAGTTCCAACAAAAGTCCTAGTAATGCCTTGGTTTAAAGTCTGAGTGAAATCTGCGTCTATAACCCTTCAAAACAGCTTAGTATTAAAAAAAAAAATCTAAAAACAATGCAGAAACCTGAACCAGGACCAACTTTTACTGTTCAATCTTCAAAGATTAATGTTTAGATACTCAAGACCTCTGTATAGTTCTGAAGAACTGATGAAGAGGAAAAGTGTTGAGAAAGGTTAAAAAACCCAGTATATTGTAGGCCCTC